TTTCCCAGACTGCTAGTCATCATCCCTAGGATGTGTGAGTTGTGTATGTATGGTGAGAGAGGAAATGGTACCACGGCAACGTGCACAAGGAAGTCCTAACCAGAGTTAGGCCCCGTCCTGCAAAGAGGTCTCTCTCTGTCAATGCCGTATGTCCACCACGGCAGAGCTTGCAACAGAGCTGGAGCTTTCCCTGAAGGCTGCTGCATTCGCTGGTATTAGGTGTGTTGTACAGAGTAGATTTTATTCTATTTGAAAGCAGGAGAGAACACAAGAGAGACCAGATCACACAGATGTCTTTCAGCCTCACACATAGCATCAGCTATGGTTGCAATTATGACTAAAGTAATCATTCAGGGAGTATATTAGTGCATATTTCCACACCATTTGGAGAGGAAAGGGGGGAAGACAGCATCCTTACCTGACTATCCATTTCAGTGCCTGTGGAGCTGGGTACACGCGCAATAGATGCTTTTAAAGGCAATTTGCAAAAGCTTTTAAAGTGCATGGCTTTCTGCTATTTTCTCCTGGTTAACGTTGTACGATGAAGGGCTGCAAGGCATTGGCTGAGGAAGTTTCAGATGTATGAGGCATGCCAAGGCCAATTTTTTGTTTGTCTTGAGAAGGTGACTGGCAGACCAGGTAAGTCAGTGTCAGATCTGTGCGTGTTTATCCCCACTCTTCAGCCACAACACTGTGAACACAGCACTGTGTACCTGGGGCTGCATTTTGGAGTCTGGAGGTTGGAGAGAAGCCCTGGCGTTTCCTGCTGCCAGGATTGTATTTCCTGGCAAGGGTCCCATACTCAACATCTCTGTCACAGGTGTCAGGGAAGGATCTTAATTTCAGGGATTTTGGGACAAAGCATTCTGGATGCAGCTGTGTTCCATGTTTTCAGCTGGGACACAGAATTTCTCCTGTTTCTCCCTCTCGGGCTACAGTCTTGGCAATATCCCTCTTCTCTGTGCCGTGGCTAACAAGTGGGAAGCAGGGCAGGATCCCAGGCTGTAGCTGAGTCGTTTGCCCAAAGTTACAGGTATGTGATATGACTCAAATCCAAGGGGCTCCCCTTGTGCTGTGCATGTCTTAAAAATCAGATTAACACATCTAGTCACCCAAACCTGTTCCTGATCTTGTCAGACGTTGCGTCCCTCATGTGCCCTATAATATGCATGTGCCAGGCAGATGCTGCGTGCTCTTGTCTTGGTGCAGGATGTGTTCAGGCACATGTTGTGACAGCCCTGAAACAGCCACAGATGTGGGTGATTCATTCACTACCTGTCACTGCCTCACTTCTTATTATACCACTCTGCTGGGAGCTGGAGCCCAAACTGACTGTTCAGTTCCACAAAGCCATTTTTGCAATGCTACGACTATGAAAGCATTTTTAGCAGCTTCTGTACTTTTGGCAGCACCCAGTCCCTGATGTAGTTAGTCTTGGGTGTCCTCCAAAACCAGAGGAGCTTCACAAACCCCCAGCACTAGCCTTGGGGGAATGTAGGTGGGGCTGTGATCTCCTTGCAACATCAGCCTGGGAGTCTTTCACCTCCAGTGACCAGTTTGTATTTTCAAGGCTTGACTTTGCAAAAAACAGACTGATGGCTTCAGACTTTTAATCCCTATTTGTACCAGTAATCCTTTTTCTTTGAGTAGTCCCTATCATGCAAATAGTGCTCTTGGCTTCAGTGGAGTGTCTCTGACCTGCCTGTATTTAATGTAAACTGAGATTACTTTTGGCATTTAAGGAATCCTGAAAAACTAAAACAGCAGAGCGGGATCCAGGGCAACGGGCTTTATAGACCCAGAAAGTCTCACTGGAGTTTACATTCACTGCTGGCGATTGAAGGGGGTCACTAGCACAGGCACGGCAAATGAATTGGCCTTTCTGACTGCTGAATAAATACTGTGTGGGAGGTAAATATTAAAGGAATTACTGTAGCAGGAGTGGAAAGGGAGGAAGGCTCCTTTGTCAAACGCAGAGTCAAAGGATGTCTGTTCATCCCATAGCAGACACTGCTTATCGGCAGGTTTTGGAAGTTAAGAGAGAAAGCTTTAAGCTGGAAAGGCCAACACATAAAGAAGACAAAGAAGCGCTCTTCCAGCTTGTTGAGTTTCATGTAATTGTGACCATTGCTAATTTTCATACAGTGATGTTTTAACAGTTGTGTGCCTGTAATTGCAGAGCCTGATTCAGCCGGGAAATGGTTGTTGGAGCCTAACGAGCGCTGAGGTGCACATCCTGAGAGTGTGCCCGCAGCCATGGCAACTGCAGGACGCAGCGTGGCCACGTGAGAGCCGCGTTGGCCATGGCTGCGCAGCGGGAGCTCTGCTCCTCGCAGGAGAACTGCGCTCTGGATGTCCAGACTGGTTTAATTACTGGTCTTGGAAACTGTCTTTGTGTTTAGTGGCTATTGCTTCAAATGCGTGACACATCCCCGAGCAGGCTTAACCCACTGGGGACTGGCTTCGGTTGTTGTGCCACACAGCGCAGGTGTGTGTAGAAGGGGGGAGTCAGGCCCTGAGGGACCGCAATGCCATGCACAAGCTGGCAACATGCACGCAAAATTGCCAGTCTAGTCCTTCTTGAGGACGGAGCCTGGGGAAGTTTCACTGGTGGTGTTCTGGCAATTTGTGTCAGATTGCTTTTGGGGGCTTGTTTTAACCCCGCTTCCCCAGTTAATTGCCAGTGCTCTTCCCTTTCACTGCTGGCAGGGCAAATGCAGCCCAGGTGTCTTCATCCGAACGTGCACAATCTGCTGACAGGGCTGAATGGCCCCAGCCCACAATAGGAGAGTTAAAAACTACAAATGTTGTCCCATGGAGAACTCCAATACTTTGACACTTATTTTCCCTCAGAATGAGGACAAAGACATAGCAAAGATATAGCGTACTCATTTGCCTCTCTCACAAAAGACTGCGACTTTGAGTTGCTGCAGCCACGTTTCCCAGGCAGGTGAACCTGGCAGAGAGGTGCCTCTGCCTGAGCAGCGGCAGTGCCCCGTGGGAACAGCAGTTTGGATGCCCTGTGCTGTCGATTCTCCTCCACGGCCCAGATTTCCAGCAGGGCTGTGTCTCCCGTGCTGCATGCTGGCCACGGAAATCATGTGAGGCCCTGCAGCTGCTAAGCCTGAGAAAAGGCACTGCTTCTATCATGGGATGAGAAGGTCAGTGGGGGAGCGTGGCCTAGGTAGGAGGATGGGGGCATGAAATAATTGAACTGTAATTCCTATGGGGTGCTCTGGCAACTCACTTAGCTACATATTAAAGGCAAATCGAACCAAAGCAAACTGGATTTATTCCATTTGATAACTGGAAGCAGTTTGTTTAAACTAACACTGACCTGAAACTGTTTTATCACAGCTTTTCTCATGTTTTTGATACAAATCAACAATTTCACAACGTTAGGTCTCTGATTTAAAGAAAACAGTTGTTCCATACTAGTCATCGCTGACAATGACACACCTTTAACAGTGGGGGTCCTACCAGCGTTACACCTGTTGCTAGTGGGACCCGGGGAGGATATTCAATAGAAAGCCCTGGGCTATTTATAAAGCCCTTCACCTGGTCTCTGACTTACACACCAAATTTTTCTGTGCAAAAGCAACCCCATGAAATCAGAGGGCAGCTATCAAACTGATGTTCTGAGTGTCTTATACTTCTCTGTTCAGGTGTTTGGTAATCTGTTCCTGATAAGTACTCCCAAGAAAAGAATTTTGACTTAATATGATGACAGAATGGAGTGGTTTGTGTGACACAAGCTTGATGTGAGCTCTCTGCATCCTTCCCTGGTGCATCATTTGGCTGAAAAGAGACAACACATACTGCTAATTACATGTCTCCTTGCTACCTGCTAACTAAGCAGAGCTGCAAAGTTGAGATTTGTGTTATCTGGGTAGTGACCATTAGATTCAGTTTATAACAGATACAATTTCCAGCTTGGCACTCGGTGACTCAGTGGGATATTCACAGAATTTTGGCATAGTGAGGCCCTGCTGTAGCCAGGGAAGAGAAAGATTCTTCCAGAAGGCAATTCAGTGGGTAAATTTTGCTGCTGCTCTAAATCAGTTTCTGGATCAGCTTACCCTCATCCACTGACTGTATAGGGAGCAGCGGAGCAGACGAGCCCCACCAGGCTAACGTTAGCTTTTGTGAACGCCCACTTTTCTCACAGACTAGTTGTAAAAATAAAAGATATTGAATTTCAGGCTGGATCCTGTACTGTACAAATTAACGTCAGAAACGCCCCGATTGCAGAGATGGAGGATAAAGGTATTATAAAGCGAGAGAACCCAGAATGGCTAGTTCAACAGTGAAAGGAGAGCAAGCTTTCCATGATGTTTTTCTGTTACCTTCTTCAGGATTTACTGAAAGTCCTGTTCAGAAATATAGCAATATTTACAGAGACACATATATGTAAATGTCATGGTTCCAAACTCCTGGGAAGTGAACAAACTGTGATAAGAAATACCATTTCTTCTTATCCGGCTGGAAAAGAAACCTTGTCATGTTGGCACAGATGCATTTGGAAAAGTAAGCAGCAGAGAAGAGTCTTGAGTACGTGATTCTGTGGGCTGACATAAAAGCCATTGCCAGAAGGAGTTCTCTCACTCAGAAGGTTTAGGAGAACCCGGAGGGGAAGTTGTTGGTGTGGATCCTGGCACTGTGAATGTAGTGGGGTTTCCTGTGGGTGAGCATCAGTGTGAGCAGCTGTGCAGGGAGAGGGCTGAAGAGAGCACTGGGTGCAATTACCGTGCAGCTGTGCTGAGCACCAAGACTCCTGTGTGTTGGCCTCGTTCTGCCACTGTCCCGCTGACTTCGGGTCCATCATCTGCCTGTGCTCTCGCCCCAATGGGAAAGGTGGGGGTGATGATATTTGTCTTTGTGAAAACATAAAGGAGCTTTGTGCAGGGTTGCTGTGACGTAGAAACCAAATCTGTGATCCTAGTAATATGTTCTTTGTGTTGCTTGGTATTCCCCGTGCATTGCAGATGGGCAAGACGAGGAGCAGAAAAGAGATGAAAGAAAAAGCTTCTTGTGGAGTGAAGAGAAAGCGCAGACTGAATTATGGCTTTCTGAGTCTTAGTGATGGTCACTCTGTGCCCTGGGAGCACTGCAGAAGGGACAAATGGCCCTCGCTTGGATTGAATTGCAGGGGAACGTCAGATGAAAAGCGCCGTGTAAGGAACAAGTATTACTATTATTTCTCTTTGTTATGCTGGGTTGACTATTATTTCATGTTGTTAGCTAGGCTAACATAGTTCACGAGGATTTTTCTTAAAATAGCATGTATATGTTGAAAAGTTTCGTTATAGTTCTGACATAGGTCCAGCTGTTAAAACCAGAAGGGCAACATCAAGCTTTTGAAAGTAACATCTAGTTAAAGCTTGGCATATATGAATGTTTGAGGAACTCTTACTGAATCATGATATAAAAAAGGGCTTGAATGTGGAGAATCTGAACAAATATGTTCACAATGTGGGTATTATTTATCTTCTTTTACATGACATTTGATGATGCTCAAGATCTAACTTATTTGGGGCATTATTTAACCATGTTATTTTGGCAGTCCTATCTCTTAATTCCGTATCACAGCAACTGAAGCTCAGTCAGAAGAGACTGATGGCTAAATGGATGCGTAGATAATGAGAGGCTTATGTGCCTCCTAATGATCCCACAGGAAGTAAACAAACTGGACAAAATAGAAGACTTTCCTTGGACACGTTTATGTGCCAGTAAGTTCTCGGTCACAGTGTGTGTGCGTGAAACCACAGGGGAGGGAGAGGCAGATTGACTTTACCTAGTCTTGTAAAATGCTTTGAAGACATCACCACTTTGCATCAGGGGATGAAGTACCATTCCTACTTGTGATAGTGGTGAAATTATTTCAATAGTTTGATATTTGCTTCCCTTGGAAAGAAATAGCAGATGTTGCAGTACAGTTGGGAAGAATCTAGATTTTACTCCCAAGTCTAGCAAGGCCCAAACTGAGAAGGCACTCACTTTTCTTATTGCCTTAATTTCTCCTCATCTGCTAACCAAGTATAATATCCATTAACTTACAATCATTTCGTTTACATTCATGTGGAATGAGGAAGATGTTCAAACGAAGAACAATGCAAGGAGAGAACCTGTAGTGTAACTTACCGGAAAAGCTCCCTCTCTTTACTAGCAGTACAGGAGAAGTCAGAGACCTAGCATGATGCAAAATACTGTTGTAGAAGGAATAAGACAAAAAACATTGACAATCAACGTGTATTGGCTGTTAATGTCTCACCACTGAAGTTCGGGGAACAGAAGCAAGCCAAATAGATGAAAAATTTTGATTACGCAAAAGTCTTCATCAGAGGAAACAGAGCAGCGCAGCAGGAACTGTATTCTAGGCTCGTAGTCACCTGCCCAGCAAAGGGTCTACCATCATCTGGAGCCCTTTACCAGTTGTCTTCATAGAGACTTGGCTGCTGCTTTTTTTCACTACTGTCATTGATGTTACTTGGTCCTTAATTATTTAGTCATCTCAGGGATGCAAGAGAAAAAGAGGACCAATTTTCAGTCTTGAAATAGGGCGATTAAGGCTTTTTTGCTCTCAGTCAACTTCGGACACTGGAGTAGATGGCTAGGGGATTTATTCTGGCACGGCTGAGTGGCATTTTTAAGAAACAGCCCCCACTGGAATTCAAGACGCCAGACATAACCCTCAGATTGTATCAGGTGGAGGTCAATCTCTGCATGTATTAAAGGTGACTTATTTAAAAATAAAATAATTGGACTGATGCTCTTTTATTTCTTTATAAATTACAAAAGAAGCTTGACATATTTGTAATACAAAATAATTTTCTTGAATGCTAAGATTTCAGCGTTGGCTCTGTACAGAAAGTCTAGCTTGACTGGAGAACTTAATCAAATTATGGCATGAATAGATAATAGAACTGAAAATTGAACAATCCAGAGGAATTTTGTCCCCTGGCTATATAAACACTTGTTATTTATGTTTGTTTTTTAAACTAAATTCCAGTAATGAACCCCTTTGATGAAATGTATTTTATTGAGTCTTCTGCAATATCATACTTTCAGTCAGGGTAGGAGAGCTTGCAGTAAACATGAGACTTTTAGAAATGCTTTAAACACAACCTCAACAGGAAGAAAGTACTTGACAGCACTAGTACCTTTAAAAAAGACGTTAAAAAAAATAGCTCACCCATAAAATGATCAACATTTTTAGCTCTCCTTTGTACATCAGAAGGTAACAGAAAGGGAAACTGTGATTCGCTAAGCAACATGAAGACAATATCCGATATTTTAATACTGTTAAAGCCTTTCATTGGTCAAGGAGACCCAGAAGAATAGAAAGAATGGCTATTTCATGGTAATACAAATTTTACAACAGTGAACATTCACCAAAGTGACAAATCCCTTTAAATAAAAGCAGTGAAAGCATCTGATGCCATACTCTAACCTTGTCCACACTGGTGCCAGTGAGGAATCAAGCTCCTCCTTTCCTAAAGTGAAGCTGTGTTCACTGAAACATCTGATGTATTTCTTTAAATCAAGTCTGTATAAAATCCATTTTGAATATGTGGTACCTACTCTACCTACATTGCCTTTCCTGGAGGACTTCTAGGGATTGAAGTGAGAACTAAATCAGGCCTCTAGAGGTTAACTTACTCGTAGGCATAAAATGCCAGGAGGGCGCCATCACCCTCCTAGTTTGTTGCTGATGACGGGAGGCTTGTAACCTGATATCCTGTTGCACAGCTTTCCTGACAGTGGAGTTTCTGCGTAATCACAAGGAACTGGAATGCTCTTTTCCCTGTTTATGCAATGTCAGAGAAGCTCAGCTGCATTACCCTCCTTCTAAAGCGTGCGTGAATTTGAAGTGCAACACCTATTCCCGAATAGCTCACAGTGTGGATGGCTCTGTGCTGAGCAGCCCTGTGTGGGTTATTCAGGAATATGTATTCCTGAATTGTAAGTCATTGGTAACTTCCAGAGAAACCCTGGGAAGCTTTCACTCTGCTCCATTTATTTTTCCATTCCCTCCCACACTTTAACACAGCACAAAACAACAACCTGGAGTGCCATAAAATGGTTCCTACAGACGTGCTATCGCAATGACTAAGAATTTATTTTTTCTGTTTTCAAATATTCCAAACTAGATCTTGGTTTGTTTCAAACAGTGCCTTCCCAGAGGTGCTAATCAGGAAGTACTACTCGCAGTAACTGTTTGATTTCACATATGTTGAGGGATTTCAGAAGGAACTGTTTCCTTAGTTATACCATCTGGGCAGGAATGTTGATTTTGTGTGTGGTCTGAAATGAAAGTGGAAATGTAAAAGCTGTGGTACAAAACCTCTTTGTGTTGCCACTGGTACATGAAACGTGCTGCATTGGCAGGTCCGATGCTCTGAGAAAATGTCCTTTATATGCTGACCCTCTCTGACCCAGGTGAATGGGTCTTAGGTCTTTTTCTGTAGCTGATCTCCCAAATAGTACTGATAAAACACAGCGTATGGAAATCTGCAGCAACTATTATGTACTCATTAGTGACTGACACAAAGCTTTGCGCATCAGAATACATCTACAGGTGTTACAGGGAAAAGGGAAGAAGAGAAAGAAAAATGTGTTGTACACTGGGATAAACAGCTTTCTTCCTTCCCTCTGAAGGAGGCTGAATTAGTAATTTTTGAAGCAGTTTGCCATAATGAGATTTGTTTGGTCTGCTGAGAATTTGTTTTTTGTTGCTAATGCAGGGTTAAACAACTGAGACTGTGTCTACATGCTCTTCTGCAGATAGGAGCTTGCTCTGTGCCCTGAGCTATAAGCCACATCACCAGCAGCACTGTAGCTTTGTTTGCACAGCATGGAGGGTAGGGCTAATAGTCCCACAGTTACTCATCACAGCACCACACCCCCCTTTTTCCACCAGGTATTACAGCCCCTTCTGACTTGTTAGCAAAGCTGCAGACCCAGTCACTCCCTAACCCGAATGCAACGATCACACATGTGGTCGGTCGTGCTGGGAGGTCAGAGGGGAGGCGTGATGACTCGCTGGGGGCAGGGTAGGGGTCATAATGTCCTCCACCAGCTCGGTGGCAATGAGAACAAATTGTGGTTCCTCTGCCGAGGGAACAGACTTGGAGGAAGGAGATCTTTTCTTCTTCTTTAACACACCCTATTGTTTATATTAAGACTGGAGAAAGGTAGAAGTCCATGTTGTCAAGACCTCCAGCAAACTTTCGGGAAAAAGCAGAGGCTGCTACAGGAGAAAAGAAAAACAGGAGGAAAAAAATCCCCATTAAAAAAAAGAAAATGTAAGACAAATAAATGAAATCTTCAAAGCCTCCTTCCTAGAGATAAATACTCTATTCTTTCTTTTGTAGGTCAGCACTACATGATGCAAGACCAACAGTGAACTTCCAGCGCATTTGCCTCTGTGAAGCCAGCTGGCAGACAGTGTGACGTGGTATGTCTGCATACCTCCTCCAGGCGCTGAAGAAGAGGTGAGCAGTAAAAAGCCTGCCTGCGATAGAAAGAGTTAAGAGATCATCCTGGTCTCAAGGGCATGTGTGGCTGCCATGGGGTGTCATGGGACAAATTCAGGGAACTGCCCCTCACAGAGGCAGGACCTGCAGAGAGAGAAGGCGTTTGTGAAGCCTTTTGAAATGTTACCTCCCTTGGCTAAAACAGATAGAAAAGGGCTCGCCTTGCTGATATTTTAAAGATTTCTGAGCCACTTCTGACAGCTTCCTAGCACTTACTGCCCTGTGCTGAGCCACACGTGTGTGAAACAAGTGACTCATCTCACTGCAGGGGAAATACAGAGGGTCTATGCAAACTTCTGTGCCCCGCTTGAACTACCTTTTTCCTCTGATTTTCAGTGTTTGTCTCTTGTGTTGGCCAACCAACCATGGCAGCAGGGCTAATTTAAGGGATCATCCCGCATTTTTGTTGGTATAAAGCTGCTGCTACTGGTATATCTGGTTTCCCTATATAAAAAGGAGTTACTGTCCTGGCTGAGGTGACAGTGACTCTAGTGTCCCTGTGAACACAGGTGGGCTATTCGGGCATAGCTGTGGTGTGAAAGTGCTAATCCCCCCAACTGCACTAGTTAAACCTTTTAAGTGAAGACCGGTCCGATGAAGGGCAAGGCTGTCAGGTCTGGTTTTTGCTGTAGGACTAAATGGAGACCTGAGAAGCAGCAGTTGTGAGTGTTAGTGGGCTTTGAGCCACCAAAACTCTTGAGAGTTGTTGTGAACAGTCCTTTGGATCCCTGACTGAAAAGAGGAGGAGGCACTGGCTCCTGTGCTGTCAATCTGTATGGGGCAAATTTAAACCCAAATTCCACTGCTCTGAGTCCAAATTCACAGCTGAGCAGGAAGGTTACCCTAGATTTCTCCCACAGCAGGGATTTAATGTCAGTCATCCTGTTGATTTTTGAGGGATTAATTGAAAGAGGGAAGCAAAGAAGTTCTTGCAGGACTGGGACTTCAGGTGAGAACGTAGGCTAAAATGTGTGGAGACCAGGGAGAAAAGGCTATGTTAGCACTCAGGTCATGCATGGGGCTCCTTTGGAAAGAATGCTGCAAATTCAGAACGTGTACTTTGCAAAAACACATTTTTTTCCTTTGATACATTATACCCTCAACTTCAAGCAGTGCCCTGGTACTGAGGGTTGCAGTCGGCTCTCCTCCCTGTTTCAGACACCATGCAGGTACACTGTACTGAAGCAGTGGAGGAGAGCGAATAGCCCATGTCTATGGTCCTGAGCTGAGAGCAGGACTAAAAGCATGATTTTTCCCCCCCCCCCCCCCATTTCACAACAGAGTGGGGATCCCCACTGCATCTGTCCCACTGACTTTTGGCTCAAGTTCTTCTCAAGCCAAGTGTGGCTTCCCCTGGAGTCATTCTTATTTCCCTTCTTGGGGAAATCCTGACGCAGGTGGCTGAAGCTGTTGTGCTCCAGTGATGCTGAGGGCACCGAGCCACTGCTTTCCAGAGTCTCCAGAATGCCAGACTGGGCTGCCAGCTTGTTAAATGGGCACATTTCATTGAGCAGAAGTGTTGACACTGTTAAAAAATACCTGTAGCTGACCTGTAGCTTCGTTTAGGAGCTTGGCAGATGTATGGCACTGGCCTAGTAAGGCTTGGTTAAAGGTGGTGTTTTGGGCTTCTGTGTATTTTTAATCTCTGTGTACAGTAAAATATTAAACATCAGCTCATGCTCTCATTGGCAGATTTCTTGCAGGAGGATCTGCTCTGGGACTCCGATGGCGCTGAACGCTGAGCAGCTGAGAGAAAAGGGGGAGTTTGGACTAATTTGTCTGCTGGCATAACTTCATTAAAGCCAGAGAGTGAAATCCCAGCCCTGTTGAGATGCATGGGATTTTTGCCAAACTTGAGACTGCTGAGGACTCTTTTTAACAATTCAACCCTGATTTTGCTTGGGAGTGAAACCTCTCTGTGGGTCTTAGCCTATAAACCCTTATATCTTGTGCACAAGAAAAATGTACTGCAGACAGCAAAATGGGCTTGGAAATGGATTTAACTTCATCAGTGGAGCCCCTGCTGTAGACATTTATTGCAGGCTAAATTTGGCTCGCGTGGTGAGACATTGACTGAATGGCACATGGACATTCAAATGCCTTAGTGATGGAAAGTGTCCTCCTTTGGCTGCAGTCACACAGTTTATTAGAGATGTCCCCTGTTGCTCCTGTGAACTGCACAAGCCAAGTTTTGGTGCTATCTCTGTGTTAGCCATTCATGCAGTCAGTGCTCTGTAAGTTTTTTTTTTGAGACCAGGTTATTGCAGGGGCCATACATGCTGACAGTGCATCTCTCTCCCTTGTCTCTTCCCTTGGCATATTGCTGTTAAGGCTTCTGGGCTTCTGTTTTAGGCCTACTTGTTGTTATAGGGTACTGGGGAGTCCTTACTGGAGCGCTTGTGCCTGAAGATACACTTATACTAATCCCATCTGTGCTCCTCCTGTTTGTGGAAGACCGACCACACACCTCCAGCAAGGAGCTCAGAAAACGGGTGTTTCCATGCCCCAGAGAGGCAACTTGGCAGTCAGACGCTTCTAAGGTTAGAATAGAATCAGGAAAGAAGACACTAGGAAAAAAACCAAAATAAATTGATAATAATTCGGGTTTCTTTAAACAATATAAAGAAGTAAGGGAGGAAAAAATGTTTTGCTTTGCAGGTCACCTTCAGAACACATAGGTATCATTCAATCACTGCTGAATCAAAGTCACTTTCAGGGAATGGCAACTGGAATGACAAAAAAAAAAGAGCAAGATTTTAAATGCCTCTTTATGAAACAAAGCGCAAAATTGTTCATCAGAGGAGGGACAGATAGTGTAAACACTGTCTTAAAATGATTCAGAAAGGAGCATGCATCTCCCTGATAATAAAAGAGAAGTTGGTCAGTTTTGTCTTTCCAGCTCAGTCCCAGCCCTTTATGGATACTGAGTGAGTTTGTGACCTTGCCTCCGTGCTCTCTATGCATCGAGCTTACTGGAACTGTGTTTCTTTTTGCACTTGAGACGAGAGAGAGGAAATATGTCCTTAACCTTAACCTTAGTAAAATAAATCCACCTCCCTCTGTGCTTGCTCGTGATCACCACACTCCCTGTTGCAGCCCTGGTGGCTCTGTGCTGGGTGATGAGCAGCAGGAGGCCCAGACATGGTGTGTTGCTGGGAAGCGATAACACTTACCGATGTGCATGGTAGCCTGGCTGCCTATTGGCAAGTATGTTGATGCCAGCAGCCAGGTGGCTCGGTAGCCCTGATCCGGCATCCTTTGCAGCTGTCTGAGCTGCTGAGTTACACTGAAACTTGCCTTCCTGGACAGATGTTCACCTGAAACTGTTCTGCCACTGGCATGTGACTGGAAGCGTGTGCTTGCTGCAGTTCAGTCACTGTGCTTTAGAGCTAACCAGCCTTGTGATTTCTTTCCTGCTCCAGACTTGCTCCAAGGCGAGTATTCTTTTTTTAACTGTTTATCTTTGCAAAATGAGGGAGTCTCCTGGAAAATGAGAGGTGCTGTATGAGCCACCTTCCCTTTTTTCTCCCCTTGTAATAAGTCAACACACAAGAGCTGGGACTGGCTGTGGAGCTTTTCCGTAAGGTTGCTCTCAGTTTGGGAGGGCAGTGTCTGTCCTGTCCCAGACTTTATAGGTAGCGAGTTGTGTTTTGTTCCAGTAATGCCAAATGATGCAAATGATGCAGAACAGGGTCCCTTTGTGTTTGGTGCTGAACACACAGGATACAAGATAATCCTCTCCTAAGGGGTCTGCATAGATGGGGCAGGCAAAAGGTGGAGAGGAAGGCTGAAAAGCCCCATCCATGTGGAAAAATTTTACCATTTCTTCAGATAAAGACATTTTTGTCTAACCTTTGCCTGGGGACACTCTCATTCCTGAAAAAAGTTTGAACCGTTTCCCAAGTGACTAAATTAAAGCCATTCACGTACTGGCATACAACTGATCACACTGAAGGTTATAATTTTACCAGATTAAATTCATAGCTGGGGTTCTTCTGAAAAACAGCCCGAGACAGAGGTGGGGAGAGCGATGGAGACCCAGGGTGCTGGGCATGGAAAGCCAGTCAGGGCAGAGGCCACCGCCTGAGTCTGTCAACCCCTCCGTCTGCAGCGCCTGGCAGATTTGGGACAGAGGGGGATTAAGCTCGAGAGGCGTTAAGCAAACGTTCCTGCGTTCCTATTGCCTTCGTCTCCGATTCTTGCAAGCACCACGTATTTCTCTCCAAGCACACCGTAAGCTGTACTCTGCGCGACTGCCTGCAGATTAGATTACGCAACGTTATTTGGACCAGAGCTCCGGTGCGGCTGCATGGCCAAGCACGTCGTAACTGCTGCCATCGATGGATTCTGGCTTGTGCAAACGGAAGGGGAAAGCCCAGCTAGCTCAGTTCGGCTCGGAGGAGGAGAAGGGCAGAGCAGGTGCAGTGCCCGCTGCCTTCCCCTTCGTGCGGGGGGCAAGGCCAGCGAGGGA